AAATGCTTATTGTAAGTTTAATGAGGTGCATTGATAATGACGTGTGCGGACAAATCCCCCTACACGCTGTGTCTTTCCGTACTGTTCGCCCAACCATACACTGCATAAGCTGTTTGAGGAATTCATTAAGACAATTTTTCTTTTTCTCGAAAGTCAATCGATACGTATCGGTATGTAGCGATAATCAAATTTGTTTGTGTGTCACGTTACATTTCTTATTTTCATTATTTCTGTATTTGAACAACTTGTCTCATGCGAATGTTTGAATACATTTCATTTGAATATTTTAACAATTTTTATTTTTTACATTTTCTATTTTTTATTGAATTCTTTAGGAATCTAATATAATGCATGACTTAGATATTACCATTGATTATTCTGAATTAGAAGATCTTACGTTTATAGTACAAGGAGGTTTTGGCGAGGTTTATGCAGGACAATGGAAGAAACAACGCGTAGCAGCGAAATTTGTTAACCGTGAAGATCCTATGAGATCAAAAGATTTTGAGCGCGAGGTTGGTTAAAATTGTACGATAAGCACTATAAATTAATTTAATTTAACAAATTACTTCACAGCTAACGCATCTGAGAGAATCTAAAAACTGTGAAGAATATATCATACAGTTCCTTGGATTATCTCAAGGTAAATTCATTTCGGATTTCATTTCAATATCTATATTATGTTATACATGGCATAGAAACTATTGCGATTTGCCGAAGTATTTCGGCATTATTACAGCTGCTTTCGTAAATTCTAAGACATCTGAAAAAATCGCTGATGAATGAATCGATAAGTTCTGGTTTCGGCTTATGTAGAAAAGTTTCTAGTTGTTCTAAAATTTATGAAACAGCTGTAAATTGCCGTAATATTTTCGTCAACTTTATAGCTGTTTCATGCAACTGAAGTTTTCCCATGACTGAATCGATAAGTTACCGAGTTGGGATCAATGTTAACCGAAATCAGAAACTTTCCAATGCGGTCTTGGGCAATTTTTTTTCACTTATCACAAAATTTATGAGAATAGCTGTAAAAAATCAATGCCGAAATACTGTCGGAAGTGTCACAATAGTTTCTACGATGTGTAAATAATAAAGACGATCGAACTAGGGATTAAAGGTGTGAGCGCAATGTTGTAATTTGTAGTAATTATAATAAATTGCGGCATTTTTTGCCGTAACTCATTATAATTACAACAAATTACGGGCATTGCGCTCGTACCTTTACCAGGGATGTTGTCAGCTTATTCGGCTCTTTATTCATTAGTCGGTTTCTACAATAGTTAAACATACAAGCTAATAACATCCCTAGTCCGAACAGTCCCTTAACAAAAGACCCTAACATAAAAGCATCACTGTGATAATGCACAAGATTCATCCATTCCTGTAAAAGCTAAACATTAACGTTTTACTGACTATTTGATTATTAATAAATTTAATTTAGACCCCAGTACTGGAAAATATATTTTTGTTATGCAATTTGCAGAGGATGGTACCTTGAAGGATTATCTGACTAATCAAAAAGATAAACTAGATTTAGATACAAAAATTTATTTTAACGTAGCAATTCTCAATGGGCTAAAATTTTTGCACGATAAAAATATAATTCACAGAGATTTGGTATGCCTTTGTAATTACATACTACTGGTTATTTTGTTATTTCGATAGTTTCGGAAATGCGATTTTTGTCTGCACAATTAAATTATTGATATTCAATTCCACTGACGACTTTACAGAAATCTTATCGTTATTGTTGCGTATCATTAAACGTCAGATCTACAAGGCAGTGCTTATGGAAAATAATCATGTGGCTAAAGCTGCTACGTATGCACTGTCCGTAGAATTTATGAAGATCACTATTGAATCAAATGATTTGCAGCCAGAAATGACCATCCGAGATGATTTAGCGTTTTGCATATCGATATCGATATTCTAATAATCATCTATTAATTATAACAGCATTCCAAAAACATTCTAATTCATAAAGGCAAGCCTCTTATAGCAGATTTTGGTCTTTCAAAATCCCTTCTTGAATCAAAAGATGGATATACATCTGAAATTCGCGGAGTACAGGCATATGTTGATCCAAAGCTATTAATAAAAAAATCGAACTATCGTTATGAGAAATCTTCAGATATTTATAGTTTTGGCGTAATCATGTGGGAAATCTACACTTGTCGTACACCATTCGAAAATAATAAGCACGATGTTGTATTTTTGGCGAAACTTTATTTTGGCCTGAGAGAAGAGCGAGAAATAGGAATGCCGATGGATTATATAAAAATATACGAAAGATGTTGGATTCCAGATCCTTCAGTTAGACTTGAAATTTCCAACATATTAAATGCTCTTAAAAATCTTAAGAAAGAGCCAACTTGTACGGCAGAAGACATTCAACCTACAGGTCTGTGATGATATAAGCAACTAATAGAATTATTCATCATATTTTAAATTAAAATTGCCCGTACGTAGTGATTTTGTTCGAAAACTTCGTTCTAAGATTTCCGGTGCTACGTATCTGATTCCAGTAACTTTAATGTCTAGATTTCTTGTTTCATCTGTTATCAATCGACTATGAAAAAAATTTGTAATTTTAGCCCTGAAATCACTTGTAATTAAAATATTTTCAGGTCTGATATTACGGTGTAAAAATTTCACTGCATTTAGAAACACTAATCCACTACATATATCTAACGCAATTTTCAATTTAATTGAAGAGTTCAAAATGTATTTCTTATAAAACATCTTTAGATTGCCATACTCTGACCATTCTGTAACTATAAATATTGAATCAGGAGACGATTTGTCTTCTATGACGCCATAAAACTTTGTTATGTTTATAAACCCCCCTAAATTTTTTAAAAGTGCTATTCGAATACACAAGTCCTCCTCTATATATGAAATACGTCTTATAATTATGATGCTTCCATCAGATGTTTTTTGGATATTTGCATTTTCAAGTTTCTTTACAAATACTAATGGTTTGCCATCGAAGAGTTCGTTATATTCCAACGATAGACCACCAATATTGGTGAGAGCATTTTGAATATTAGCATT